CCGTATGCAGGCGTGCGAGCGGCTCCTGGGGGCGATGGTCGAGACGCCCGCGGGCCCACCGCAGGGAGGCGGCCCAGCCCGAGCAGGCGCTGCACCACGCCAGCCTGGGGCGGGCGCCGCGGCGGCTGCCGTGCTGGTGCCGGTGGCGGGCGCCGCGCTGCGCGTGGCCGCAGCTGGGCCTGCGGCGCCTTGGTCGCTGCCGGTGCCTGGCCCAGGAGCCTTGGCGCTCCTGCCGCTCGCGGGCCCCCCGCCGCGTTCGCCGCTGCCTGGTGGGCTGGGCTCGCCGGGCATGTGGGAAGGCCCTGGGGATGACGACGACGACCTGGAGCTGTTCGGCGATGCCCCTGCGCTCGGTGCCCTGCGCGGCGCAGAGCCCCGCATCCAGGAGGCCGCCCGCCAGGCATTCGGACGTGCTCAGGATGAAGGGCTGCTGGACCACAGCGCGCGGGCCCGCAGCCGCTCAGCCCCGAGGGGCGCCGAGGTGCAGTGGCAGGGGTGCCGCGGCAGCGCGGCCGTGGCGCAACCCGCGGGGTGACATTGGTGCTGGCAGGCTGGCTCGGAGTCCCCCCGAGGGGCTGGCCGAGGGTGCAGCTGGTGGCGTGCATCAGGCGCCCCTTGTTCGGGCTGGTGCTGCTCATCGTCAGGCGGGTGATCATCGGCATGTGGTTCGTTATTCCACAGGTGCTGGGCTCGAGGGGAGCGATCTTCGGCATGCTCGTGGTCATCGTTGTGCGGCGCGTCGTGACGGACTCCCTCTTCGTCGGCAAGTTGCTCGTGGTTTCAGCGGTTGCTCGGACCTACTGCCCGCTGATGGAGATGCGGAGGTCTCGCACGAGGATGATGGTGCATGCAGTGAGGCCTCGAGTCCCAAGTCTTTGGTTTTTGTACATGCAGCACTACCAGCTGGGCCAGTGTCCAGTAGTTCCTGGACCAACCTTGTCTTTCTGCAATAGTTAGGAGTGGCTCCTGATGTGATGATGATGATGACGATGGTGATGATGATGCTGCTGATGATGATGATGATGCTGATGATGCTGATGCTGCTGATGATGCTGCTGCTGCTGTTGCTGTCGATGGTGGTACTGATGATGATGGTGGTGACGGTTGTGGTGGTGGTGATGATGCCGCTGATGATTAGGATGAGGAGGAGGAGGAGGAGTAAGAGGAGGACGAGAAGGAGAGGAAGGAATATGATGATGATGAGGAGGCGGAGGAGAAGCAGGCAGGGAGGGGAACACAAGATGAAGAGGAATTATGAGGACATCGAATCGGGCGATGGAGGGGGTTGGGTGGGAGGAGGGATAGGGAATGTGGACGCGGGCGAGGACGAAGGAGGACAATGAGGAGGAATGCGTTGGCGACGAGCAGAAGGAGGGAGATCAGCAGCAGCTGCAGGGTGCAAGTCAGCGAAGCGGCAGCAGGATCAGGAGGAGGAGAAGGATGGGGAGGATGGAGGAGGAGGAGGAGGAGGAGGAGGAGGAGGAGGAGGAGGAGGAGGAGGAGGAGGAGGAGGAGGAGGAGGAGGAGGAGGAGGAGGAGCAGGAGGAGGAGGAGGAGGAGCAGGAGGAGGAGGAGGAGGAGGAGGAGGAGGAGGATGTTTCCCTCCCTCATGCAAACGAACGAGCATGGGCTCCGCGTTGCGTGGGGCCAGGCGCTCGGTCGCCTGCAGTGCGTGGAGACCCGGTGGAGACGAGTGAATGGTTTTGTTGCTGCCGCTGTTGCTTGTCTTCTGGAGGCGGGGTGGAAACCTGAAGAGCCAGACCGTTGGGTAGATCCCGACGGCGAGGTTTTCCACGTTTTAACTTGCGACCATGAGCGTTTGCTGGATTTGGCTCTGCTCGAAGCCTTTGACAAGCAGGCCTGGAAAAAAGCGAGCGAGCATTACCACGGCAGCAGCCTCGTAGACCGTGCTGACATGTTTATCCCGCTGCGCAAGCTTAACAAGCTCCGTTCAGCGGGAGCGCACGACCAGGCTGCAGTCTTAGAGATGATTCTTTCTGGGGCTCTTTGGCCGGCGTCTCGGCGTTTCGGAGTTGAGGCTCGGAGGCCTTTCCCGAGGGTAGCCGAGGCCCTTCCTTCGGCCCCCTCGGCCCCAACCCATTTTTCCTCGGGGGGCCGCGGCGTGGTAGACGATGAATTTGATTTTGAAGCCATGGTGCAGGAGGCTGAGAGGGAGGATTTCGCGCAGGAGGAGGAGGAGGCCATGTTTTGTGAGCTCTATGATGAGGAGCCGCTTCAGGCCTCTAACCCCGCGTGGACCTCCCCGAGTTGCCCTCGGTGCGGGGCCCCTCAAGAAACCTTGTTGCACCAGCTCTGGACCTGCCCAGCCAACCTCCAAATCTCTGGATTTAAAGCCGATTTAGTTGCCCAGGCAGAAGATGGCGCGACTGATGCGCCAAGTTTCTGGCTGAGAGGCCTCCCACCGCTCCCCTGGACCTACCAGCATTGTTGCGTTCCTATCCAGGGCGCGGAGCGCCTCAGTCCGCAGCTCCGAGTGGATTCTTTCCAGCTTGATTCGGGGTGTGTGATTGGGTCGGACGGGGCGGGCGGGGAGGAGAGCGAGGACCCTAGGCTGAGGCGCTGTGGCTGGGGTTTTGTCATTCTCCGAGGAGCCCAGCACTTGGCCTGGGGACTAGGCCCCATGCCGGGTGATCGGCAGACGGTCCCAGCAGCAAAACTTTATGCTATCACGCGTGCCGCCCAGCTTTCCACTGGGCCGATCACTTGTGTTATAGATAATGCCGGTGTTGTCTCGGGCATCCGAGCGGGGCCCCGCATCAGGCACAAAAAGATGGTGCGGCTCTGGGCCGATTTCTGGGCGGCGGTTGGACAACGGCCGATTGCGATTCGCAAGATCAGGTCGCATTTATCTATGGAGGATGCCCAGGCTTTAAATTTTGACCCCGTAGACTGGCAAGCAAATCGATTGGCTGACAAGGCGGCGGAGGAAGGTGCGCGTTCGGCCCAGGTTCCTTTTGAGGACCGTCGGAACGTGCTCCTCGCTGACAACCTGTGCTCCCAGGTCCTGGATTCCATCTTGGCTGTTTCAGTTTCCCTGGTCAAGCAAGCGCCGGCTCTGTACGGGGCAGCGGCCAAGGGGAATCGCCAGGAGGAGGCCAAGACCCGTTCCGCCCAGGCCAAGCAGGCTCATCTTGAATCCTTGGCCTTCCTGTTGAGCCAGACCCAGCACTCCGTGGAGCAGCGGGCTCATGGACCCTGGAGGTGCACAATTTGTTTTGCACGTGACGGAGGGGACAAAGAAGCCTTCCTGCAGTCACCTTGTGCGGGTTTTCCTACTCAAATCCATGATTCCCATCATGTCGATGCGTTCAGGGGTGTGTTTTGGTGCCAGGTCTGCGGTGGGACGGGCGTCCCTTCTCGCGGGAAACTCCAGAAACTTGGCCGTCGATGCATCCCTGGGCTCACCGACCACGGGAAGAGGGTATTGAACTGTTTGACAGCAGGGAAATTGCCCCCAGATCTCAAGGCTTGGCCTGATTGATCGGGGAAGGCTGTGCCGTCTCCTGTCGCGGGCCTCGGCGGGGCTGTCGCCCCCCGTCGTTGGTCGACAAACCTCCACTGATGGAGGCGGCACGGTTTTTGTTTTCCCTCCCCTTTCGGAGGCCCTCAGTGGACCCTTCCTCCGCAGGCAGGTAAGAGGTAAGAGGAGGAGGAGGATGAGGAGAAGGAGAGGGAGGAGGAGGAAGATGAGGTGGAGGGCTCGGAGTCTACGGCTGGTGAGAGATGCCGCAGGTTTGGCTTAGGCAGATACTGGGGTCTTTGCGGGCCCAGATGCCGCAAGAGAGGAAGTAGGGCGGCAGGCAGCAAGGCGACGACGAGGGGTGCAAGAAGGGGTAAGCAGCAGCACATTGCAAGCGAGAGCGTATCAACCATGAAGAAGGACGAGAGGAACATGGCGGCCAGCGGCGAGGGTACAATGCGAGCGCTTGGACAGAACAAGCAGACGTTTCAAACGATTGCGACGATGCATCAAGAGCACCCGCAGGAGGATGGAGGGGAGAGCACGCGGCAAGGAGAAATCTGGCTGAGGATAGGCGGCACCAGGCGAGGTGTGCAGCACTGATCAGAAGCAGTACCGTCTCTTGGGGGCTATCAGGTTGCTTCAGGGCGGAGTGCCCCGGGAGGTGGAAACGGAACAGCACAAACACAGGAGGATGGGCAGCAGGTGGACTTGCGGGGGCCTCTGGGCGAGCTGGCGGGTGTTGGGGAGATCAGAGTGAAGAGGTGGACCAGAGGAGGAGGAGGTCGAAGGAGAGAAACCATAATAAACAGAAGGTTTCGCGCGGACAATTTATGTTAATGCCGTTCTTCTTCTTCGTCGTCTACAGAACGAAGAGGTGGACCATGGAAAGAGAGGTTGATGAAGTGGAGGGACAGCACAGCATGCCCCGGCAGCCACGCGTGCAGCGGCAGCAGAAGAAGCCCGGGGGAGGCTTCGGGGCTGGGGTGCGGAGAAGCATTATGATGATAAGGGCGATGGCCATGGCAAGGGACGACGACCAATGCGACAAGGATGACGACCGGCACAATCCGGCGTTGCGTGGACGGCGGAAAGGTGCTCCTGAACCACACGGACCGTGCGGAATTGGCCACCGAGGAGTACCTGCCGGTGGCGACGATTATGGAGGAATTCTCGGCGCCCTTCTCCTGATCCTTCTCCTGCTGCTCCTGTGCTGCTCCTGACTGCAGTCGGGCCGAGGTCTCAGATCGAGGTCGGTGCGGGGAGGGTACCCTGATATTCTTCGTGTTTGTTGGATGTTCTTGTGCATCCTGGGGAGGGTACCCTTGGATGTTCTGTTTGTTTTGGCAATCGGAGGGTCTCATGTTCTGGAAGGATGTTCTTCTGGCCTAGGTCCGACTGTACTCTTTTTTCCTCCTCTTCCTCTTCCTCCTCATCCTTCTTTCCTCATCTTCCTCCTCATCCTTCTCCCTCCCTCCCTCTCCCTCCCCTCCCTCCCCTCCTCCTCTGGCCTCCTCCCCTCGTGGTGGATGGGGCTCCCGCCGCTTCGGGCTTGAGGGAAGGCTCCTCCACCAGTGCCGTCCTGAGGGGGAGGAGGAGGAGGAGAGAAAGAGAGAGAGAGAGAGAGAGCAGGAGGAGGAGGAGGAGGAGGAGGAGGAGGAGGAGGAGGAGGAGGAGGAGGAGGAGGAGGAGGAGGAGGAAGAGGAGGAGGAGGAGGAGGGATGGAGGGAGGGACCAGGACTGGACGGCGCTATCTCGGCAGGCTGGCCCCAGGACGGGTGATGCGACCCTCTATAGGGGGTACTGCCACCGCCAGCGAAGGGGCCGCCCGGTCCCGCTCTCAACTGCTCGTAGAGCCTCGCCCTGCGTGAAAAGTGTTCGACGCGGAGATCTCCATGTGTGCATCTATTCGCCCACACGTTTCCCGTGGCGAGTGCCTGCGTGCGCGAAAGTCTAAGCATGAACTCGTCTGAGCATGATCAAGCTGGGAATGGCGAGGCTGAGTGTTAATGAGTCTGAATGTGAGTGGGTGTGAGTGTTAGCGAGCCTATGCGCATGAGTGTGCGTGAAAGTGAGTAGCCAGAGTGTGGGTGTGAGCCTGAGACGTCTGAGTGTATTGGAGTGCGAGTGACCTGAGTGAGTGTGAGTGTGAGAGGTCTGAGAGGATCTCAGTGTCCCTGCGAGTGCTGAAGCCAGCGCCTCGCCTGAAACCTCACCACAACCTGCTCCGAAAGCAGAGGATGTTGGGCACCTGCACAGGCGAACCTCCTGAGATATCCCCACAGTCTGGGCGCGAATCCTGAATGTCCCCACCCCTGTCGGCTCCCCCGTGGGCGTGCTGAAACCAGCGCCTCGCCTGAGACATCCGCACAGACTGATCTGAACACAGAGGATATTTTGCGCTCAAATCGGCGAACCGCCTGAGGCATCCTCACAGTTTGGGCGCGAGTCCTCGAGTGTTCCCACCCCTGGCGGCTCTCCGTGGGGAGTGTCGAGTCCAGCACCTCGCTCGAGACATCCTCGCCATCTTCTCCGAAGACAGACGATGCTGGGCACCCAGACTGGCAAATCGCCCGAGATGTCCCCGCAAGCTGGGCGCGCGTCCCGAATGTCCCCAGCCCTGGCGGCTCCGCCGTGGGAGTGCTGCAACCAGCGCCTCGCCTGAGACATCCTCACAGCCTGATCCAAACGCAGAGGATGGTGGACACCCTCACGGGCAATCCGTTCGAGACATCCCCACAGTCTGGGCGCGGATCCTGGAGACTGGGGCGCCTCCACCCCCGCAGCTCCTCCTCGCGAGTGCTGAAGCCGGCGCCTCGCCCGAAACCTCCTCACAACTGTTCCGAAAGCAGAGGAGGTTGTGCCTCCTCCTCCTCGTCATCCTCCGCCTCCTCCTTTCTCCTCCTTTCTCCTCCTTTCTCCTCCTCCTCCTCCTCCCCCTTTCTCCTCCTCCTCCTCCTCCTCCTCCTCCTTTCTCCTCCTCCTCCTCCTCCTCCTCCTCCTCCTCCTCCTCCTCCTCCTTGCTTGATGCATCCTCCAAGCCTGGGCGCGCGAACCCTGGAGGGTCCGCCCCCGCGGCGCCCCCCCCCTCTCGGGGCGCCCGAGGGCCGCGTCTGCAGCACTGCGGTGGACAGTCTGCTTCGGAAGCAGCGGATGCTTGTCGGGGGTGGATCGGCCTCCTGCTCTGACACGTCGATTATCGGGGGCGGCAAAGAGGGGGGTGATGACTATGGGGGGGGTGGATCTCATGGCGGGGGCCATGATATTTCCCCAGATTTCGTGGCGCCTCTTCTTTGTTTCATTACGTCCCTGGCCCCCCCCCCGCTGGGCCGCGCACATGCCGCCGGCCATGATTTGCACCCCCCCTCTTGGACACCCCCCTCTTGGCCGCTCCCGATTGGAAGCAGAGGATGTTTGTCGCGGGTGGATCGACCTCCTACCCTGACACGGCGATTAAGGAATCGGCCGTTCTCGGTTCGCGAGAGGGCGTTGCGGCCGTCATTTTTGCGGTTCACGGTCCGTCGTTTCGGTCCCAGGCCGTTTTCACTAAGGGAGGTTTACTGAAGGGAGGTTTGTCCACCGCCGAGTTTGGCACCCAAACGCGCAACCCGCCCGAGACACCACCACAATCTGGGCGCGAGTCCTGGAGTGTCCTTACCCCCCCCCCATTTGGCGTGCCCAAGTGCCGGGCCTGCTTTTCCGCCGTGAGCAGTGGCCCAAGTGAGTCTGAGTATGGTTGAGTCTGAATGCGACCGAATCTGACGACGAGTGAGTCTTCTGAGTGGGTCTGAGTGAGAGTGAGTTTGAGTACCAGAGAGTCTCACTATGAGTCAGTCTGAGCACGTGTGGGTCTGAGTGTGAGCGAGACTGAGCATGAGCGAGTCTGGGTATGAGTGAGTGGGTCGAGGAGGAGCGGGAGGGGGGAGGAGGGGGAGGAGGACGAGGGTGTGAGGTGTGAGGGGGGAGGAGGTCTGAGGGCGTCTGAGCAATAACAATAACCTCATCTTCGGGTGTGGGAGCGATGCCGCCCTCCCCTCTGCCCGCTCCTGCCTGCCGCCCCAGCAGGACTTCGTGATCCTGCGAAAGAACCCCAACTACAAGCCGACCGCGATGTGAGCAGCCTGCCCCCCCTCCCCTCTCCCGACCGCAGCGCGCGCGCGTCTCCCTCGCCCCCCTCTCCCGGGAGGAGAGGGAGGTTTTGGAGGGAGGGGGGGAGGGAGGGACGAGGGAGGACGAGGAGGACGAGGGAGGACGCGCCCGGAGGGAGGGGAGGACGAGGGTGGAAGGGAGGAGGGAGGGACGAGGAGGGAGGACGAGGGGGAGGACGAGGACGAGGGGGAGGACGAGGAGGACGAGGGATGTTCTGGGAGAGGAGGAGGACGCGCGCGCGCGCCCCGTTTCGGGGCGGCGTCCGGGCCGGCACGCACGAGAGTGAGCGAGCGAGTGAGGAGGAGGAGGAGGAGGGCGAGGAGGAGGAGGAGGACGAGGAGGAGGAGGAGGAGGACGAGGAGGACGAGGAGGAGGAGTGAGTGAGGAGGACGAGGAGGAGGAGGATGAGGACGAGAAGGAGGTCGAGGACAAGCGTAAACCCAAGACTCGTTCACGATGTTGGGATATACCCTCCCTCGAAGCTCCCTCTTCGTGGGCCCCTGCAGGGGTTCCTTTCCACAGGGAGGTGCCCCGTTGTGAGACAACCGTTTGAAGATCCTGAAGCGTGCCAGATCAGCATTCTGGGGCAACGCCACGAATGAATCTGACTGTTGCGTCTGGATGGTCCTGAGCCGTGCCAGGACACTGTTCCTGGGAATTCGACACCGCTGATCGACGTAACTGTTGCGCCCTGACCAGTCCTAAGTCGCTCCCAAACATTACTTCTGGTGTGTTAACCATGGGGGCCACTGAAGCTCTTGCAAATGTTTAACTTGATGTGCGTGACAGTCCTAAGCCGCTCCCAAACATCACTTCTGGTATGTTAGCCATGGGGGCCACCGAAGCTCTGGCAAATGTTTAACTTGACGTGCGTGGCGCTGGGGCGAGAGCCACGTTTTGAAAAGGAGCCGTCCTCAATCCGTGAAGCTTAGGCCTTCGTTTCACCGAATGTGCGCGGCAGCACCCCTGGGCAGGCACCAGCGCCCCTACCCAGACATGCGCGCGCGCCGATACAGGCCTCACAACGTGCCCCCGTGGGGCCCCCTCACAGATCAGTTCACGCCAGCGGCTGGTGCACTGCGGGCCCCGTCGGGCACGAATCTCGGCAGGCGGCGGGCGGCGTCTGAGATTCGCATGCCCATCGCCCTCCAGCACGGCGATGGCTGTCCTGTTATCGGCGGCGCCGCGGGTCGGACGACTACCTTCCCCCCGACCCGTCTCCGCAGAACGTCACCACCCCCTCCTCGTCACGTCAGGTGTCCAGAGGAGCTCCGAACACAAGCCGGGCGCGAGCAGCGCGCTCCCCATCGAGCTGCGGCGGGGTGAGCTCATCGCCCTCGCCGTCATCGTCGCGCTGCGAGATCCGGGAGGAGGATGAGGAGGAGGAGGAGGAGGAGGAGGAGGAGGAGGAGGAGGAGGAGGAGGAGGAGGAGAGGAGGAGAGGAGGAGGAGGAGGAGGAGGGAGGAGGAGGAGGGAGGAGGGACGAGGAGGAGGGAGGAGGGAGAAGGGACGAGGGAGGAGGGAGGAGGGAGGAGGGGGGAGGGGGGGGAGGAGGGAGGAGGGAGGAGGGAGGAGGGAAGAGGGGGGAGGGGGGGGGGGAGGAGGGAGGAGGGAGGAGGGAGGAGGATGGACGAGATCCTCAGGCTGGCGCCCGCGGCGCCTGCACGTGCCATCGCTCAGGACGCAGCCCCCGCGCGGAGCCGACGCTCGTGGGGCCACTGCCCGCTCGCGACCACTGTCAGGGCGCGCCCCCAAGCGGACCAGTCGCCTTCCTGCTCCGAGCGCCTAAGCTCGTTCCTCCTTCCTCCTCTCCTCCTCTCCTCCTCCTCCTTCTCCTCCCCCTCTCCCTCCTTCATCTCCCCCTCCACCTCCCCCTCCTCCCCGTCCGTCCACGGTGCCAGGCGAGCAGTCTGGGCGGCGGCTGGCCGAGGAGCGCACAGAGAGCCACAGCGTGCTTGGCATCGCTCGGACGTGTGCATTTTTCCTTCGGAGAGGACCGTCGAGGAGCAGCCTCGATCATTCCGCGACAAAAAGCCACGCGCGAAACCGGACAAAAAACACGGGGAATGGACGTCCGAGCGATGGCCAGCGTTGCAGATCTGCCAGGAGTCGCCGCCGCCCTGCAGGCCCTCGCCGCCGGTGGCGTGGCCAGCAGCGGTGGCCCACGGCTGCGCCCGAAGGCCCGCGAGGATGTCCAACAGGGCCTCGACTCGTGCTACGTGCAGGAGGCGCGGCCCCTGTCGCTAGCCGCGGGCAGTGTCCACTTGTCGTAGCCCGACGCCGTCGGGCGATGCCAAGGGTTGTCGGGGGCGGACATAACCCCCAACAGTGACACGTCGATTAGTGAATTGTCCGTTTTCGACTCTCGAGAGGGCGCCGCGGTCGTTATTTTCCAGGCTTGCGCCCGCCATGTTTGGGCCTCAGGTCGTTTTCACTAAACCACGTTTTACTAAAGGGAGGGCTGTCCATCCCCGAGGTTGGCCGCGACGGGGTCCCAGCCTAAGTCCAGCAGCGTCGCCTGGACCGCGCCGATCGGGATACGCACCCGCCGCCAATGATGGCCGCCTGCCCGCGCTGGTGCGCGACGAACGCAAGACCACGCTCGCTGGACGCGACCGTGGATGGAGGGCTCCGTCATCCACGGCGTGCACCACGCATCCATCACCTGCCTCAGCCCCACGTGCGGGTCGCGCAACCCCATGGTCGCCGCCAGCGTGGACGTGAGACAGCGTCCGCGCCCGGCACCGACGAGGGATGGCCTGGCTGGCCTGGCGCCGCAGCTTGGCGCTGCTGCTGGGCGCCAGGCCTAAGACCTGATGGCCGCAGGCCGACTCGCGGCAGGCCCCCCGTGGTCCACAGCCCTCGGCTCTCCTCGCCGAGCCGCGACGGCTTGCGCACGCGCAGGATGCGGCGGAGTCGGCGCCTGCCGGCCGCCAGGCGGCCCCCCGACCTGCGGCGGGCCCTCCTGCGCCCCGCCGCCGCGTCGACGCCGAGGTCCACCGCGCCCAGCGCGAGCTGGCACGGGATCGCCGCCCGGCGGAGCACCGCCACGCTCTTGGCGCAGCAGGCGCCGAGGAGGATCCTGAATCGTACCAGGCCACCATCCCTGGGACTTCAGCACCGCGAATCAGCGTGACTGTTGCTCCCTGGCCCTCCTGAGTGGTTCCCAAACATGATCTCTGGCACGTGAACCATGGGAATCGGTGAAACTCTTGCAAATGTTCAGCACGACTGTGCGCGGCGCTAAGGCAAGAGCCACATATGGAAAACGACCCGCCCTCCATCTGTGAAGCTCGTGCAAATGTTTAGGGCGAATGTGCGCGGCGCTGAGGCGAGAGCCGCATATTGAAAACGGCTGGAACTCAATCAGTGAAGCTGTTCTGTATTTTCTAAAGACGAATGTGCGCGGCGCCAAGGCGAGAGCCACAATTTGAAAACCACCCGCCCTCCATCTGTGAAACTGTTGTCATTGTTTACACTTCAGGGTCGTATGCGACAAGGAAGTCCAGGGTGAAACGCCCGGCGCGCCCTTTCGACCGGCCTCGGGGTCCGACAGGGAGGACGTATTGGCAAGGACTTCCGTTTGACGTGGATACGACGTGGGTCGATTTCCCTTAAGGCCGCTAGAGCACTGCAACAACGAGGAGGAGGAGGAGGAGCAGGAGGAGCAGGAGAGGAGGAGGAGGAGGAGGAGGAGGAGGAGGAGGAGGAGGCAGGAGGAAGGAGGAGGAGGAGGAGGAGGAGGGCGGAGGAGGAGGAGGAGGAGGGGACGAGGAGGAGGAGGAGGAGGAGGAGGAGGAGGAGGAGGAGGAGGAGGTAGGAGGAGGTAGGGAGGAGGAGGAGGAGGAGGAGGAGGAGGAGGAGGAGGAGGAGGAGGATGGAGGAGGGAGGAGGAGGAGGAGGAGGAGGAGGAGAGGAGGAGGTGAGGAGGAGGAGGAGGAGGAGAGGAGGAGGAGGAGGAGGAGGAGGAGGAGGAGGAGGAGGAGGAGGAGGAGGAGGAGGAGGAGGAGGAGGCGGAGGAGGAGGAGGAGAGGAGGAGGAGGAGAGGAGGAGGAGGAGGAGGGGAGGAGGAGGAGGAGGAGGAGGAGGAGGAGGAGGATGGAGGAGGAGGAGGAGGAAGGAGGAGGAGGAGGATGAGGAGAGGAGGAGGAGGAGGAGGAGGAGGAGAGGAGGAGGAGGAGGAGGAGGAGGAGGAGGAGGAGGAGGAGGAGGAGGCGGAAGGAGGACAGGGGAGAGGAGGAGGAGGAGGAGGAGGAGGAGGAGAGGAGCAGGAGCAGGAGAGGAGAGGAGGAGGAGGAGGCGGCGGAGGAGGATGAAGGAGGAGTTCTTCGGGACCGCCGCCACGTAGCCCCGCGGGCTCCTGGGACCGCCGAATAGGGAGGAGAGAAAAGGAGGGGAGAGGCACGGAGGATGCTGATGCGAGGAGGCGGTAGGAGGGAGGAGGAGGAGGAGGAGGAGGAGGGAGGAGGAGGAGGAGGAAGGAGGAGGAGGAGGAGGAGTAGGAGGAGGAGGAGAAGCGAGAGCAGGAGGAGGAGCGCCCCGCCACCTCCTCTGAGCCGCCGCCGCACGGGCCCGCGGGCCTCCTCGGAGCCGCCTGCCGCCTGCTCGGGACCGCCGCCTCCCGAGCGCCCCCCCATGCTGTCGGGCCGTTTCCAGGACCCTCCTCCTCCTCCTCCTCCTTCTGCTCCTCCTGCTGCTCCGCACTTCCCCTACCTCTCCCTCGTCCTCCTCCCCCCTCCTCCCCCTCCCCATCCTCCCTCCTCCGTCCTCATCAACCCCTCCTCCTCCTCCTCCTCCTCCTCCTCCTCCTCCTCTTAGCCTTTTCGGCTCTGTTTTCTGCAGAGTTTGGAGGTGCGAACTTCGAAAAGGCACACTGCATCTCCGAGCCAGAGTGGCTCGGGTCAGAATCAATTTCATGAGCCGCGATGCCAGTGTCTGGTCGAACACCAAGCGCTGGTCGGACTGGTACAACAAAGGTTGGAGTGCGAGTGGGAGGCTTCCTGTGCCGCCGCCCCCTCCATCGACCAGACGGTGGAAGTGCGACAGCTGCGGCTGCAGGAAGAACCTACAGAACTGGAGCTACTGCAAGCATTGTGGGGGCGACCGCAGTGGTGATGCTCCTGGCCATGTCGATCAGGCTCTTCCTACTGGTGCCGCACACTGGCCGCCTCTTCCTTGGTGTCCAGGTCCGTTGCACATGGGCCCGAAGCAACAACCAGCCCCTTCGACTGCTGGAGCCTCCCTTACCGCGTCCGAGCTGCGTTCCATGGTCGAACTCAGCAAGCGGGCGGGAGACACGGACGGTGCAAAGAAGTGGCAGGCAGTTCTCGACAAAGTGGAACCACCTCCTGCGGCTCAAGAACCTGTTCAAGCTCGAGCTTCCAAGGCACACTCTAAGGTCCAGCAGCTTGAGAGAGTCCTGGCCAGGGAGCTCGGTAAGCTCGACAAGGCGAGAGAGTACTTCGAGTCGCAGCAGGAGATTGTTAAGAATACCAACGATGACCTTGACAAGGCAGACGCGGACTACAAGCAGATCGTGGCAGAACTGGCTGGAGGGATTGTTCCACGTGCGCCAAAGACGCCTGGCGGCACCACGAAGCTGCTCATGCTGGAGGATATCGTGTCGGGCCAGGCTAAAGCGTTGGATTTCATCGACACGTCCTCGCTCTTCGCGATCGACAGCGATGCCTATGTTGTCACCCCCGAAGATCAGCGGATCTTGGATGAGCGCAGGGACACGCTCAACACGCAGTTGCAGGAGATTGCCGCGCAGCTGTTCTCGGGGGCGATGGACAAGGCCAGCGAACTCAAGAAGGCTCACGCTGAGCACCTACGTAAGCTTCAGCAAAAGCGTCGTCGTGGCGAGCATGGTCTTGTGGAAGCTGGTACTGGTGCTGACAAACAGTCTGAGCCGTCAGCGGGTACATCGGGGGCGAGTTCTGCATCAGGTTCGGTACCGCCGGGTAGTGATCAGCCCGGTGCTGCTGCTCAACCTAAAGTATCTCCTGATGAAGTCGCCGTCGGAGGAGCTGATGACGCTGAGCTTGACGAACCTGAGGATGTACGGTCCAGGGCAAAGAAGGCCATGGCAGTCGCAGCCAAGGCGCCTTCTAAGGCTGCCCCCCCTGCCGCGCGTGGCTGACGCCGCCGACGGGAGGGGGGATTTCCAGATGCCAGTGCATGTCCCAGTACCAGACTTTCACGAAGTGAGGGCTGAGTGCGAGCAGAGACTTCGGTTTTCACCTCGGCTCAGCTTGCGCAACTATATCTATCATTTGTTTGCTGATGAGTCCGAAGTCTCGAGCATGGGCCACGGGGCCGTTTCCTGTCGGAGTGCTCTGAGTTACGGCGTTTCAGCTTATTCCGCCGATTCCCCCCAAGGCTATACGTCGGCCAGTTTTGGACATATTTTTTTGAGGCAGCCAGCGCTGCCAATGTGTCATCTTTGGCTCTCGAGGTCGTGTCATGCAACTGCGCGGCTTGGAACACGGCCAAAGATTGGCTGCTCACCACCTCGGCCCATGTGGTCCTCCTGCAGGAGCACCATTTGGGAGCGGATCGGATCGCTGAAGCTCAGCAGTGGGCTCTAAGGAACGGGTGGAAGATGCTCGCGCTGCCAGCTAAGGTTACGTCGACGACGGGGACCTCTGCGGGGGTGGCGGTCATGCGCAGGCACTTCGTCGGCCTCCTCGAGCCCCCTGGAGGCTGTGAGCTGGTCCCGCATCGTGCTGTCGGAGTTTTCGTGAATCTTGGAGGGCAGCAGCCCGTTGCGGTGGTCAGCTGCTACCTCCGCGACTGCCGTGGACTTTCGGATCGCAATCAGTTCATTATGTATAAGATTGGCGGATTTGTTTCGTCCACCCTCAGCGGCTATGTGATCGGAGGCGATTTTAACATGGAGCCGCAGGTGTTGGGGGAATCTACATTTGTCGAAACCCTGGAGGCACAGCTTGTGACCTCGGGGGGCCCGACGTGTACGTCCACGTCCGAGGCTGGGTCGAAAAAACTATGATTATTTTATTGTGTCTAGTGGGTTGTCTAAAGGTGTGCGTTCGGTTGGGGTCGACCGCAGTGCCCCTATGCCCCCCCGCGCCCCTTGCCACGATCAAGTTCCACTCGCAACTGTATGAGCTCAAGGTGTTGGCTTTTAGGAAGCCTCCTCCCTTGCCGTCAGTCGTGCCTGTGGGGCCTTGCCCGCGTCCACCGAGCTGGGAGAGAGAGGAAGTGATTGCCGAGTCTGTCCTTAGTGCTGCGTGCGCGGGTGATAAGGACTCGGGGGTCTCGCTTGCTAAGCTCTATCAGTCGTGGGCGAACAAGGCTGAACGCGAGCTGTGCGGTAAGTGCCAGAAGGTCCTTCCTGAGATGGGGT